AGTCGTAGTAGTAGTATTAGTAGTAGTACTAGTAGTAGTAGTAGTAGTAGTAGTAGGTGTTGTAGTAGTAGCAGTAATAGTAGTCTCAGCAGTATTACAATTATTAGTATTAGTAGTAGTCGTAGTATTATTCGAAGTAGTAATAGTAGTAGTAATAGTGCTACTGGTAGTGGTAGCGGTAGTCGTAGTCGTAGTCGTAATCGTAGTCGTAGCCGTAGCCGTAGCCGGAGCCGTAGCCGTAGCCGTAGCCGTAGTAGTAAGTGTAGTTGTAGGTGTGTTTGTAGTAGTAGTAGTTGTAGTAGTAGTAGTAGTAGTCGTAGTAGTAGTAGTAGTGGTAGTAGTAGTAGTAGTAGTAGATGTAGTAGCAGTGGTAGTAGTCGTAGTAGTAGTAGTAGTGGTGGTAGTAGTGGTAGTAGTACTAGTCAGAAGAAAAAGAAGTAGTAATAGTAGTCGTGCTAGTCGTAGTAGTAGTCGTAGTGGTCGTAGTAGTCGTAGTAGTCGTAGTAGTAGTAGTAGTCGTCGTAGTAGCCTTAGTAGTTGTAGTAGCAGCAGTGGTCGTAGGAGTAGTACTAGCAGTAGTAGCCATAGTAGTAGACGTAGTAGTAGTAGTAGAAGTAGTAGTAGCAGTAGTAGTAGTAGTAGTAGTCGTAGGGGTTGTGATGGTAGCAGTCGTAGTAGTAGTAGTAGTAGTAGTAGTAGTAGTAGTAGTCGTAGTAGTAGTAGTAGTAGTAGTAGTAGTAGTAGTAGTAGTAGTAGTGATGGTAGTAGTAGTTGTAGTAGCAGCAGGAGTAGTAGTATCAGTAGTCGTAGCCGTAGTCGTTGTAGTAGTGGTAGTAGTAGTAGCAGCAGTAGTAGTAGTATTAGTAGGAGTAGGAGTAGTAGTAGTAGGAGGTGTAGTAGTAGTAGTAGCAGCAGCAGCAGCAGTATTAGTAGGAGTAGTAGTAGTAGTAGTAGTAGTTCGTAGTAGTAGTTGTAGTTGTAGTTGTAGTAGTAGTAACAGTAGTCGTAGGAGTAGTCGTAATAGTAGTAGTAGCAGCTGTAATAGTAGTAGGTAGTAGTAGTAGTAGCAGTGGCAGTGGTAGTAGTAGTAGAAGTAGCAGTAATAGTAGTAGGAGTAGTAGTAGTAGTAGTAGTAGCTGTTTTTTGTAGTCGTCGTCGTAGTAGTAGTAGCAGTAGTGGTAGTAATCGTAGTCGCAGTCGTAGTAGCCGTAGTAGTCGTAGTAGTCGTAGTAGTAGTAGTAGTCGTAGTAGCCGTAGCAGTCTTAGTAGTAGTAGTAGTAGTAGTAGTGGTGGTAGTGGTAGCAGAAGTAGTAGTAGTAGTAGTAGTCGTAGTAGTAGTAGTTGTAGTAGTAGTAGTAGTAGTCGTAGTAGTCGTCGTAGGTGTAGTAGTAGTAGTAGTAGTAGTAGTAGTAGGAGTAGGAGTAGGAGTAGTAGTAGTAGGAGGAGGAGGAGGAGTAGTGGTACTGGTAGTGGTGGTTTTAGTCGTAGTCGTAGTCGTAGTCGTAGTCGTAGTCGTAGCCGTAGTAGTAGTAGTAGTAGTAGTAGTAGTAGTAATATTGTAAGTGGTAGTAAGTAGTAGTATAGTAGTAATTGTAGTTGTAAGTTGTTATTGTAGTACGTCGTAGTAGTAGTAAGTGTAAGAGTAGTAGTAGTCGTCGTCGTCGTCGTCGTCGTCGTCGTAGTAGTAGTATTAGTTGGTAGTAGTCGTAGTAGCAGGAGTAGTAGTACAGATAGTAGAATTTTTTGCCCCCCCTGGTTTTTTTTTTTTTTTTTTTCAGTCAGTATTACTAGTCGTCGTAGTAGTAGTACTAGTAGCGTAGTAGTCGTAGTAGTAGTAAGTATAGTCAGTAGTAGTGGTGGTGGTGTGGTGTGGTATGTAGCAGTAGTAGTGTAGTAGTAGTAGTAGTAAAGTAGTAAAGTAAGTAGTAGTAGTAGTAGTAGTAGTAGTAGTAGTAGTAGTAGTAGTAGTAGTAGTAGTAGTAGTATTAGTAGTAGTAGCCGTAGTAGTAGTAGTAGTAGTAGTAGTAGTCGTAGTAGTAGTAGTAGTAGTAGTAGCAGCAGTGGTCGTTGGAGTAGTAGTAGCAGTAGTAGGATAGAGCGCGCTCGTGGGGCCCGATAGACTAAAAGGGGGGCCCAGCTTGAAGCTCTCCCCCTCCCTCCCCCCTTCCTTGCTAAAAGGGGGGGGGGCTTCGGAAGCCCCCCCCCTCCTCCTCTTTTCGTGTCTGGAAAAGGGTGGTGGGGGCTTCCAAGCTACCCCCCCCCCTCCCTTTCATTACATAAGCTGGAGTGAGCCCCCACCCTTTGAAAGGGTGGGGGCTTCGGGAAGGCACCCCCCCCCCCCCCCCTCCCTTTTCGTGGCCGGAAAGGGGGGGGGGGCTTCCAAGCTACCCCCCCCCCTCCCTCCTTTTAATGGAGCTGGGGTGAGCCACCCCCTCCCTTTGAAAGGATGGGGGGGCTTTGGAAGTCCCCTCCCCCCCTCCCTCCCTTGGTGCAAAAGGGGGGGGGGGCTTGAAGCCCCCCCCCTTCCTCCCTTTGGCCGCCCAGCTCCCGGAGCCATCGCTCTCCCTTTCGCCTCCATTTATTCCCGCCCCGCTCCCTCCTCTTCTTCCTTTTGCCTCCTCCTCTTCCTCGTCCTCCTCATCCTCC